TCTGAGTGCTGCAGTGTACAACTTCTAACACTCCACTCTGAACTTGATGTCTCAGAAAATGATACTTGGTCTCAATATGCTTGCTTCTCCCATGCAGCACTGGGTTTCTGGCAAGGTTGATTGCAGACTTGTTGTCAATCATCAACTTCAGAGGTTTGTCTACCTTAATCTTCAGATCCTGCAACAGATTCAGAATCCACACAGCTTGGCATGCAGTAACAGCACCTGCAATGTATTCAGCTTCACAGGTTGACAACGCCACAACAGGTTGCTTCTTGGAACACCAAGAAATGGGACCTCCCAGAAATTTGAACAAGTACCCAGATGTACTTCTTTTGTCAACTCTGTCTCCACACCAATCAGAGTCTGAATAACTCAGAAGTTCTGACTCATTATTTCCTCCAGAGGGAAATAACACTCCATACTTCAGAGTTCCTTTGATATACCTCAGAATCCTGACAGCAGCTTGGTAATGGGACCACTTAGGTTTACTCATGAACCTACTAACCATCCCAACAGAATAGCAAATATCAGGTCTGGTATTGCACAGATACCTCAGAGAACCAACCAACTGTTTGAAGGTTGTAGCATCCACATCCTTTCCTTCAGAGTCTGAATCCAGTTTCTGATTTGTATCAGAAGGTGTGACAGCCATCTTACAATTCTTTAGATCAAATCTCTTCAGAAGTTCTAATTCATACTTGAGCTGATGCAAAATGATACCTTTCTCAGAATATCTGAACTCCATCCCTAGAAAGTATGTCATTTTGCCTAGATCAGTCATTTCAAATTCATTCATCAGAACTTTCTTGAACTTGGCTATCTCCTGTTCAGAACTTCCAGTCAGCAGTATATCATCAACATATAAACATACCAGAGTCATATTGCCTTCAGGAGTATGCTGAACATAGACACCGTACTCCATCTCACATTTCTGAAAGCCTTGCTTCTTGAAAAATGAATCAATCTTCTGATTCCAAGCTCTAGGCGCTTGTTTCAGTCCATATAGAGCTTTGTATAATCTGTACACCATCCCTTCCTGATTCTTTTTCACAAATCCAGGAGGTTGTGACACGTAAACTTCTTCTTCTAATGGACCATTCAGAAATGCAGATTTTACATCTAAATGCATCAGAGGCCAATTCCTGTTAGCAGCTATTGCAATCACCATTCTGATTGTTTCATGTCTTGCTACAGGTGCAAACACTTCAGAATAATCCAGCCCAGGTTTCTGTAGAAATCCTCTGGCTACCAACCTTGCTTTATGTTTGCCAATTGAGCCATCTGGCTTTAACTTCTGCTTGAAAACCCATCTGACGCTGATGGCTTTCTTGTCTTTTGGAAGTTCTGTCAGCTTCCAAGTCTTGTTTCTCTCTATAGCATCAAGTTCTTCTTTCATGGCCTTCAGCCAGAGCTTCTGCTTAAGAGCCTCCTCTGTACTTATAGGTTCAGAGTCTACTAACATGGCACACTGAATAACTTCTCCTTCAGAGTCTACTTCAGTGTCTTGCAGCATGTCAAATTCTGCAAATCTTCTGGGAACGCTTCTGATTCTTTGTGGTCTCTGAACTTGTTCAGAGTCTTGAGCTTCAGAGTTTCTAGCTTCAGATGATTGACCTCCAGAGCTTTGACCATCTTCAGAGTCTGGCATATTTCCAGAGTCTGAATTGCCACCAAGATCTGGATTGTCATCAGAGTCTGAATCATCAGAGTCTGGGTCACCTTCATCTTCTGAGTCTTCTTCAGAGTTTGAATCAGTATCAGAGTCAGAGTCAATATCAGGGTTTACTTCAGCTTCAGAAATTCTTAACTCTGGCCTTTCTTCAGAGGTTCTAACATCAGAATCAGATTGAGACTTATCCCAATTCCAAACTTCTGATTCCTTCACAATCACATCTCTGCTGAATTCAATTTTATTGGTTTCTGGACAATAGAGCTTGTATGCACCTGTACTGTGGTACCCTATCAGAATCATCACTTTGCTTCTATCATCCAGCTTCTGTCTTCTGGCTTCTGGAACATGTTTATAGCAAATAGAACCAAACACCTTCAGATGACTAACACTTTGCTTGTCTCCAGTCCACTTCTGCATAGGAACTATTTCCTTCAACTTCTTCGTAGGACATCTGTTAAGTACATACGTTGCAGTGGCAACAGCTTCTCCCCAGAGCTTCTGAGGAAGCTTTTTCTCCTTTAGCATGCTTCTCACCATATCAAGCAAAGTACGGTTTCTTCTTTCAGCAAGACCATTGTGTTGAGGGGTATAAGGAGCAGTGACCTCATGCTCAATTCCATTCTCCTCACAGAACTTCTGGAACTCTTTGGAGTTATACTCACCTCCACCATCAGTTCTAAGAATCTTCAACTTCTGACCACTCTGATTCTCAGCCTTCATTCTGAACTTCTTGAATTCATCAAACACCTCGTGTTTGAACTTAATAAGGGATACCCATGTCATTCTTGTGAATTCATCAACAAACAACACAAAGTATTTATTCCCTCCAATTGATGCTACTGGAAATGGACCACACACATCAGAGTGTACAACTCCCAAGGCATGTTTTGCTCTTGGAGCAACTTCTGATGCAAATGGCAATCTTGGTTGTTTTCCTTCCATGCAAACTTTGCATGACTTTTCAGGCTTCTTAATTGCAGGAATTCCATGTACCAATTTCTTTGAATTCAGATGTTGTAAGCTTCTGAAATTCAAATGACCAAATCTTCTGTGCCACAGCTCACTCTCCTTCTCAGTACTTGTTGCACTAAGACACTCTGAGTCTGCAGTTCTGACATTCACCTTGAATGTTCTATTCCTTCCCTGTTCTGACTCCATAATCAACTTCTGATTACAGTCATACAGCTTCAGAAGATTGTCCTTCATGGTAACTGAGAAACCTTTCTCAATTAATTGCCCCACACTCATCAGATTGCTTCTGATGCCAGGTACATACCACACATTCTGAATCAATGCTATTTTCCCATTGTTCAGAGTCACTCTGACATTTCCCATACCTTCTGCATTAAGATATTTGTCATCAGCACATCTGATCTTTGTTCTCTTTTCAGAGTCAAAGTCAACCAGCCATTTCTTGTTTCCAGTAAGATGATTTGAACAACCAGTGTCCATATACCACCAGTCTGTCAGATCCACATTATCAGATTCAGAGGCCATCAACAGCACAGATTCGTCATCAGAGCCTCTGGCTATATTTGCTTCTTCTGATTTCTTCTCCTTGTTTGACCAACAATCTCTAGCAAAATGGCCAAACTTCTTACAACAGTAACATTGTATTTTTCTTTTGTCATACTTCTCTTTTCCCCTCTGAGCATTCTTTTGTCTATCAGAGGTTGAGCTTTCTGACTTCTAACCACCATCAGATCTTCTCCTGGCTTCTGACTGCTTCTGATACCTCCTATCAGAAGTTGCTTTCAGAGCCTGCTGTTCTACTTCCTTTTCAGAGTTTCTCTCAGTCAGACGCAACTCTTGCGCTTCTAGACTGCTCTGCAGCTCTTCAATTCTCATTGTGCTCAGATCTTTGGAATGTTCTATTGCTACCACAATGTAATCAAATTGAGGAGTAAGGGATCTCAATACTTTCTCCATGATTGTTTCTTCAGAAAGAGTTTCTCCACATGCCTTCATCTCATTAGTGATCAGAATCACTCTGAAGATGTATTCAGAAACTTTCTCATTATTCTTCATGTTGAGATTCTCATATTGCTTTCTCAAGGACTGAAGCTTCACCTTCTTCACTGATGCGTCACCACCATAACATCTCACCAGAGTGTCCCATGCAGCCTTTGCTGTTGTAGAGTCTGCAATCTTCTCAAACACGTTTACATCCACACATTGATGAATGAAGAACAATGCTTTCTGATCCTTCTTCCTTACTTCCTTCTGCGCGTTTTTCTGTTCATCAGTTGCATCTGCTGCTACTGGAACATAACCATCAGTGACAAGATCCAGAACATCTTGAGCACCAAACAGTACACGCATTTGGATCATCCAACGATTCCAGTTTTTACCATCAAATACTGGAAGTTTGGTGTTCATGTTGCCGTTTCCGTTCATCTTCTACTTTGCACAATACACTCAGAGTTTTCTCACACAGTGTTTCCCAACCCACAGAATTAAAAAAAAAAAAATTCTGATCAGATTTTGTTCAAGATTCAACAAGAATCTGAGAAACAAAATCAAACACACAAGACCTCACGTTCACTCGTGTTTCCCGTGTTTCCCAATGAATCTGAACCGGAGCTCTAGATACCAATTGTTGGTGCAAAGATAAAATAAATGATGAAATAGGAAATATTACTAATAAGAGAATGACGGCTACAAACATGATATTTGTTACAATGATTGTCACCCTATTTATAAGCTAAAACTAGGGTTACTAGAAAAAGATAAATACTAAAATACCCTCTAACAAACTTAGGGGCCAAGAAAATAGTACAACTAAATAAATATGAATTATTAATAATATTCTAATAAAAACCTCTTTTGTTAATGCCTTAAGGAATTATTGAGCTTAGATTTATCTTTGGATTTTTTATTGAACTCTATCTATTAATAAAGTATTTTTATTCAAAAAAGATATAAAATAAAATTCTGATTTTTTAAAAAAATTATTAAAAAAAAAATGAGCTCTTGAAACTCTACTTGAATGTTTTTGGAGGCTTTTTAATTTATGGAGTCTACTTATTTTAAGCTCATTTATTTTTAAAATTTAACAGCTCTAAGTTTGTTCATTGAACATTAGGTACCATTAATTGTTATATTGCTATGTAATGAAAAAGATAGACATACATAGAAACGCACACCACTATATCAAAAAGAAGATTGTTGTTCCATTTCCATATGATTACAATATATATATATATATATATATATATATATATATATATATATATATATATATATATATATATATATATATATATATATATATATATATATATATATATATATATATATATATATACTCTAGATTTGAACTTTGTCATCTCTTTAGGAGCTGTAATGAAGACATAGCTTTAGCTGAGCCGACTTTCCTCACTAGTAATTTCCAGCTTGCATCAGCTTCCTTGTTCTCTTTCTCCATTTTCAATTGAAATTGCCTGTCACATTACCGTAAAAACAGACACGTTAACCAAAACCTCTAAATAAAAACTAGTAACAAGACAAATCCATTAGTCAATTACTGAGTCACTTTAAGATTAGAAGAAACTTAGACAGCGACAAGTGAGTTAATTTGGTTCACTAGAAACTTTGGGTGTTAAATTAGATGACTCTTGTACATTAAAATAATTAAACTGAGAGAAGCTGTCAATTACCAAGCCTATTCTTTTTGTTTGTGGTTTTGATCACTTGCCCAGTCACTATCACGGAATCTATCGACACACAAACACGTTTGACATGGCATGCTTCATGCATGCTAAGCTTAAAAATAAAAATAAAAAATACACTAAATTCAAATATAGTCTTAACAGAATATAATTTGACGTACCTGCATAGAGGAACCTTGCATGAATCTTGATGAAGGCAAATACAAGAGTGAAGTCTAAAAAGTTGCCACAATCGCTTACACCTCATACACCCTCCCTTGATCCTCTTCTCACACGTGGCAAATTGTCGAATCAGCCCCTGCAATCCTTGACACGTGGAGAATTTCGAACAAGGCATCCTCTTCCTCTGTTCTTTAACATCCACGTCGTACGGCGCCACGCTGGTACATCCTTCCGTACATATATGTTCCAAGCATTCCATCGCTTCGCTCAGTTGCATAAACACCTCTTGCTCCTCCCTCTGTCTCTTCATTCTCTTTTTCCTCTTTAACAACAATTATCTTCATAAATAATTCTGAAACTAATACGATTAATTAAAATTATTTAAATTGTTAGTAAATTATAATTACCGATTTCTCCTCGTTGATGAATTGGACAATGTCGTTTTCGAGCCAAGGATCATGGGTGTGCAAGAATTTCCATCCCTCTGTTTTTCGCACTGCTCTGAAACTATTTCTAATTAACATCGCACAGTTGAGGTAAAGATCCGGTGCATCGCAGAGCCTTGCTAAATGCAACACGTCCACCACATTCTCTATAGTCGCGAGTTTGGATAATCCAACGACGCAAATCTGCTTCAGCTTTGGAACTGAATACGCGTGCGACAATGCAAGAAGGTGTATTCCGTAATTTTCCATATCCTCCTCGCTGCACCTGCAAGCACTCGATTAATGCTCAGGGGTCATTAAAGTCTTTTTGCAAATAAATATTTAATTTAATAGAAGTTTTGTTGACTGTGACGAACGTGTAAACTGTATCTAATCTAACTAACCTGCAGGTGTAGATGAAACGTACAAAGGCTGTGACGGCGTCGTATGGAACACCGCGGATTTCTACGATTCCATTGGATTTTACCATGTTCTCTAGAACAGGGGACGCTGAAGCCTTTTGAGAGAAAAAGTAAAAAGGAAATAAATTAATTGAGGATAAAAGATATTGATTCTTGACGAGAGAAAGAAAACGGAATAATGAGTACCAAAATCGCTGCGTGAGCTGGAACACGCGTTCCTCTAGGACCGTTGATGTAAAGATCGGGTTTGGACGAGGAGGTGGGTGAAAATAGAGCATCCATGCTGAGTTAAATTAAATTGGTTGAGATGAGAATAAGGAAAAGGAAAGAATGAAAGTCACTATATATAAATGGATGGTGATGATGATGAAATATGGATCACGTGGAAAGCACGCAGTGGGATAGTGGTTGGGAAATGGAATGTCGGCGGGAGATCCTGACCGTTTGATTAAAATTAATACAAGTATGTGATGTTTTTTGAACTAAATCAATGATGTTGTTTAGAGCCGTCAGATCTGAAATCAATATCCGGATTTATCTATGAGCGTTACTACATGAAATTTGTATCCGAGAGAATTGGGGTCATTGGTTACCCAAATACGTTTGTAAAGTTTGTTTGAAATAATACTGTATTCTATATGTTTTTCAATTTAAATGGTCGAAAAAAAATTTATTAATTTATGTCAAACAAATTTTTTAATGGAGATTAAACACTTTTAAACGGAAGGAATGGATGGATTATTTCAATAAGTAAAGTTTTATATGTTAACAGATACAATTCACAAAATATATTATTATTATTATTATATTTTTATTTTTTATTTTACATTTTAAATAAAAATATTCGTAAATTGTATCTTCATATTTGAATATTCATAACTGAGTATGATCTTGTAATTAGATTGCAAGTAAAGAATGTGATGTAGATATATCAATAAATGTATTTTAGGATTCTCATGCCTTATAGTATTAAATCAAATAATGACGTGTCTCGTTCAAATTAAGTCTCTTAATAAAAATGTGTGACACACAATTCACAAAGCAAATCATAATCATTACTTTACGTAATACATTAAATTAATACCTACTCCTTTTTTTTTATAAATAAATTTTTACTTTTAACTTTATTTAATAAATAATATGTTGAGATTATATATAAATTAGATATGTCACATAAAAATTTATTTATAAAAGAGAAAAAAAAAGGAATATATCCGTATAAGTACTATGTAATAGTACACTTCAATATATTTGAAAATTTTAGTCGACAAATAAAGAAAAATACTAATAAACATACATTAGTATTATTAAAGATTTTTACCGTTCTCATTTGTCTATACAATTCAATTTTCAATGTATCTCATTTGAATGAAGTCTTTATGTAAGAAAATAATATGGACTCTTATGGTATAGTAGAGTCACAAATGTTAGAGTATATAATTTATTGTGTTAAAATAGTGTAATTTGATAGAAACAAGAACAAGTCGAGTTAGTCTATTGTGTGTGGGAGTTAGTCTATTGTGTGTGTTGATGTGTATTAGTATGTCGAAGTGTTGAAGTAACTTGTTTCACATAAGATTTCGACTTAGGCTTATTTTAGTAATGTTAATTATTTTTGACTTTTATAGTTTTGTGTTTTAGTTTAGGGTGCAAACTAACATAAATCTATAAATAGAGAGTAACTCATATTTTGTAAACAACTCATAACATTGTACACAGAATTTGCAGTTGCAAGTAAATAAAGAAGTTTTTCACAAGTTGTGGGCAGAGAGAAATTTTGCAGAAAATATTTTTCTTCTTCTCCAATGTTATTTTCTTTCTTTCTTTTGAAGGTTGAGAAACACAAAAAATGAGAGTTTGAATTGAGTTTTACATTTTGTCCTCTTTTGCGAAATTAGAAAGATAAATCTAACAATGACAATAAAAATAAATGAAACAATTATTTTTATTCTGGTTCACTGTTAACGAAGTTACTCGGTTCACCCACTAAGGTGATTTTGCCTTATCACAATGACTTCATTCAATAATCATCAATGATTACAACCACAATGGATACCTTCCATTGCCTTCTTGAGAATCCTGACTTTCAATAGCCTCTCAAGTAATCAACCTCCAAGCCGTTAGAAACGACTTGACCCTTTCAAGCATTCTGCTCTTCACTCGACCGCTCAAGGAACAACACATTTTATAAGGATTTTCTCGTGCATTAATATGCTTCTTACAAGTTGATTACATAGATAAAGTACATGATCACCTAAGTGCTTCTAAGCAAGATATGAGCAACAAATCCTTACTTTATAATACAGAAAACTATCTAAAGAATGAATCTTTGAGAGATTATAATACATTAGTTTTGTATTGCTTAAAATCTTTCTTGATGGGCACTACGACTTCTTTTCACGAGCTTTAAGCTTCTTTTTTATGAACTCTTTTCTTGAGCATATAATGTATCTTCCAATTTAACCATCAAAATCAACTAAGTTACTATGTTTCACTTGACTAGTTATATATGGTTTAGCATGTTACATCGTTATGCGCACTTCAGCAGTTTGCTTAAGCTTTTTCTTCATTGAGCATTATTCATTTAGGCTTCAGCTTGTAGCATTTTCTTTAGTACTTTGGTTTTGCACAGCATGCTATAATCAGCGATCAACTATTGGCAATTAGCAATCTATTCAGTCAACTCAGCTCTCTTCTTCAAGCTTCTTGATCTTCAATTTATAGAGCTTGATAGAATAGATCCGTTAAGGGACATTCTTGAAAACATATTCCAACAACAATATCCCAACGTTCACATGAAGGAATTGTCAACATAATTGTACAAAAAGCTGCTCTTGTGCCATCTTTTCGAGGTAGAGGTCACACAGTTTTAGTACTATTATATTCAGCTCAAAATCATTCTTATCTTCAGTATTCTATCATCTTTAGAGGCTTCAGATTTTAACTTGAATAAGCATGTTGTAGAAGAGTCATTCTTTGTGTACTCTTCAGAACCATAGTCTTCAGAATCTCAGATCTTCATTCAACATAACCTAATCATAAGAATCTTTAGCACTTGGTTTTTTAGAAGTATTATCTTCAGAGTCTTTTAAACTTATTCTATCTCCGTAATAAGTTTTTTGATTATAGCTTCTGTTCACAAACTGCGTACTATCGAATCCTAAGTCACGTAATGTTTTACCATTAAATATATCATAATATTTATTTTTATAATTTCTTTATTTTATCATTAGAATAAAATTAGTTATATAACGTGAAGTAATAAACTGGAAGTTTTTTTTAATGTAATCTATATTTTTTTTTATACGTTCATGATATTTTTTTAGTAAAGAAAACTAATATAATTTTCTATTATTAGATAATATATGTTCAATTAAAATTAAAAATAAAAAAATAAACAAATGTAATAGGCTAAAACATTTATATCTTTCTTCTCCTTAGCACACTGCCATGCTAGTTTTCACTCTTCAGTCATAAGAAACATAAACATGTCATCGGTAGTGTGAGATATATCTCAGAGAGTGAGATATATCTCAGAGAGTGAGATAACAGTCCCTATTTTAATTTCCTTGATGAATTAAAGTTTGTATTTAAAGCATAAGAATTAACTATCATTCACATGCGTATCCAATCATTCGTGCCTAGACAATCAGTAGAGTTCCTTAGGGATCATAATTCATAAGTTTATGACAAGGTTAATAAATTTTCTCTAAAAATTTAATGTTATAAAAACAATTTAGTAATTTATAATAACTCTAAATTTAAAGTCTTTTTTTTTAAGTTAATAAAAATTATTTTTATCTTTTATTTAAAGATATTTTTATCAACTAGTTTTATAACCATAAAATCTTTATAATTTTATTTATTGAATTTTTTTTCAAAAGAAATTTTATCAAGAGCTAAATGAAGTTGGAGCATAGTAATATGTAGTAGGAAAAATATAGCCAGTAATCTTACGTAGTTTATAAGTACATGGGAGGCACAAAATAAAAATAATAGATTCATACTTTAATGATGTGGGGTGGAGAGTTTAGTAGAATAAAGTAATGGCTTTGGAAGAGTGAAGAGGAATTTTGAAGACCATTTTATGCTATGTTCTGAGTGTAATAGAAGTACGATAATAATAGAGTAATATAGTGATAAGGTATATTTAGGCAAGTTGTGGTTGGTTAATTGGTAACCGAGACACTCATTTTAATTCTTCTCATTTAATTAGTTTTCAACTATTAGTAACTATATCATTACTTCTCATCATTACAAATCATCGTGAATATTCACCTTAATCTTTTCATATTTGTTTAGGTTAATTTTATCATAAATTATACCGTTTCGGGTGTTATATGACACTGATAAAAATATCTGAAATAACTTTTGTTGATAATAAAATATTTTTTCCGATTGCAATATATATATATATATATATATATATATATATATATATATATATATATATATATATATATATATATATATATATATATATATATATATATATATATATATATATATATATATATATATATATATATATATATAGGTCGAGAAAATAAAATTTATTATTATTATTATTATTTATTTCTTTTATTGAAAATAATTTTGTGATTTCATCGATAAAATTTTGTTATGAACAGAGACTATTTTAAAATTTTAAGTGGGTAAAGCTACCGTTTATTGAAGAGACCGAAAATTAGTTCAAAGGAAACAAATATTTTTATTTTATAATTCTATCATAAATAATTTTGTTATTCTATCCTTAAATTTTCGTTACAAAAATGAGTTGTTTCAAAGTTTAAGGCGGTAAATATGATGCCGAATGATAAAGAGACTGAAATAAAAAATTTTTTAAAAGTTTTATATCGTGAACCACTGATGAAATAAAAATCCTAAAATATTTTTAGCATAACTCGAATTCACTTATATAAAAATTATTTAAATTTATATTTGATCATAATATATTATAGATGTGCGGAAATATTATAATCTTAAAATGCTTATTTATTTTAAAATTACAGGTGTTACAATACATCCGCCTAAAAGAGTTTCGTCCTCGAAACTACATGTCTGTAAATAAATTCAGGTATTTCTCTCATATTGCACTCTCAAGTTCCCAAGTTGCATCACTAGTGGCTTGGTTCCAAATTATTTTTACCAACGAAATTTCCTTATTTCTTAACAGTTTCATCTTCATATCCTTGATCGTAACGAGTATTACTTCAAATGATAAGTTGTCTTTAAGTTTAATGGTGTCTGGTTTTATTACATGGGAAGGATCCAGAATATAT